CAGCTATGACAAATCCGTTGGTTTGGAAATCGAATTTCAAAGTATATATGAGGAGGCCACTCACGAGTTGAAATATTTTTTTAGACTCTACTTTGAATCAAAATATCGTTGTATGTCTACATGTAATCAAGGCTGACACCAACACGATGTATATATATATATATATATATATCGATGGAAGGCTGTATTTTAAGGTTCATGTATACTGGATACTATTTCTATTAGGAAGACGAGACGCTGCCCGAAGATCGATTCCACCAACGGGATATGATGTCAATGCACATATTGGACCAGCGGCGTCGGGATAAAGCCCAGCAGGCCGCGAAATCCGCCGCCGATCGCGCCAGTCGCAAGGCGGACAACGAGAAAAAGCAAGCAGCTGCCCGCGCGGCCGGCAAAACGTGGGCGGAAATGTACCCGACCGAGCCCGAGACGACGTTTGTGGACCTGAACGACCTGTTGGCCAAGTCGAACAGTACCGACGGAGCGCCAGTGTCCGAGGCGGCAGATGCAGTCGCGAACCAGTGGAAGCAACAAGCAAACAAACACATGCAGCTCAAGAGCTCGCTCGCGTTTGAATTGCTAGAGTAGATCACCACCATCCACCAGGTCCACCACTGCATATATATGCACTTTTCAATGTATATATAATATATATATATATTTGGGTACAGAACAGTGTGGTCCTCCACACTCTAGCTGGGTACAATGGATATTGTGCTGAATGTTTCGCCCAAAGTTGCCAATTTGTTTGGGGATGTTGCTGAAATCAACAACACATCGAACGCAGTTATATATGATTGGGTAAAATCATGAAGGGTGTAATCTGATTGGCTAAAACGAAAGACTGTTCATAAACATATGTACTTGTCCAAGATGACCGAAATCGCCTTGAAACAGTGTCTTGGTTGAGCTCGACAGTATATATATTCTTGGTGGTAAATATATATATATATATATATATATACCATGTAGTGTATATAGGTTTAGACAGCCATATAGATTTGGAATCCTCTGTAAAATGATCTAATCCTCTGTAAAATTATATACTTGGATTATTATCGTATGCATGGGAAATGGACACTATCCGTATCCGGATAATTGGCCCAAATCTATATACGCATCCCCACCGGCTGATGTAAAAATCTTCAAAGTACATCACTCCATCAGCAAAAATTACATTTTTTAGACCCACACCGGTTGCCAATAAATTATAAACACAGATATCTCAACAGATCGATCTGTTGGGTCGTTTACATTTCTGTATGCGATCCCAATGGACTTGTTCAACGAAGCATGCCATCCCGACGTCCTCAAGCACGCCGGCAGCATGAATATGAATGTTACAGAATGTATGCCAACCCTGCTGCACTAGATTCTCCACTGGCTCCAAAATCTCAATCGGCGTCCAACGCGAATTTGCTCCATCAGGACTACTATTTCCGCCAACCGGTGTGATGTAGTTACTACTGTTACAGCACGCACCCAATAAACGGGTCTTTTCAGCTCTATGTTTACATCAGCCGGTGGGGATGCTCATACATATATACTTGGTCGTGCCAACTTTATACTAGCAAAAGACTGTGACGAGTTTCTGGTATGTATGTGACATAGTATACCTTTATAAGGTTCTGGTTTTTAATATAATAAAAATATATTAAAAAAAGCGGAACAATAGCTGATTTAATTTGTCCAATATCAATACTATTAATAGTAGATAGCAACCAAAAGCAACGGTGATATTTTCGCATGAGGTTAATACCTACGTCGCATAGTTGCGGGCGCCAAATATATTGGACCCCACGCGGACATAGTTGCTTCCACGGGCAATCTACACATATTTTAAATATATATATATATATATATATATATAAAGTACCGCCAGTTCAAAATCGCCCGACATGCCCATGCTCAAGGCCAAGTTGGTTTCGTCTACTCCGAGTGCGCTAGACACGCGGGAGCGGCACGCCACGAGCGAGTCGAAGCAGTCGGACGTGTCGTCGTCGAAGCGGCCAATGGTCATGAGACCGGAGAGCGTCAAGTTCGCGCAACTGCCGTGGATATGGGCCGCCAGTTGGACGCAGTCTGCCGGCGCCACGCCGCTCTTTTGCACTTCGCCTGCTGCCACGTCAGAAGAGCATGATTTGATGAGGGTGTTCGAGGTACCGGACGTATTGACCTGCACCATCACGCGCAGGGGGTGACCCGACTGCCGCTCGCCCCATGCTTTGTCGAGCTTGGACGCGACCTTGATCGAGTCGACGCTCTCGACCATGTACAGGTTGGGCACGCCCGCAACGAGTGTCTTCACCTTGTTGCTCTGGAGGTGTCCGATAAAGTGCCACTGGATGTCCGATGGACACACGGGGGCTTTCTCCACCAGTTCCTGGATGTAGTTTTCCCCAAAGTGCCGCTGGTCCAACCCGTACGCGACTTCGATGTCCGCCACAGGTTTGGTCTTGCTCACCGCGACCAACGTGCACTGCATGCAGCAGTATCATGATCATGATCGTGAGCTTTATCATGTACCTGTTGCTTCCATGGGCTCACCGCCAGCACGTCCGAGATGCGCTGGCGGACATGCTGCAGATTCCGAGCCACGCCTGATGACATCGCTGCGAAAAATACCGTTTCGTTCGTGGTTGGAACCAACATCATCCGGATAACCAAGTGGTACCGACGGGTTATCCGGATTATCATCCGGTTACTAGTACACTTTAGCTACACATATAAATAACCATAAAAAACCTGACTTAATTTTAACATGCGAGGAGTGTGCTACGACTACTATACTTTACTTCATATTGTCAAATGGATTCGAAACTGGAGCCATCACCAGAATCGAATGTCGTAAGAGAATGGATTAAAGCACCGCCTAAGCCAATCAAATCACGTCCTGTTGAGTTTCTGCCAATCTAATCATTCGATTGGGCCCAGCCCCCTCCGCATTGGGCAAAACCACATATAGCCTAATCTGTAAGTAAAGTATAATTTGTACAAGTTTAACTGTAATACTAGATCAAATGAATTCGAATGCTAACTATTTGGCGAAATCACTCACAATACTTAAGGGCCCGTATGGATGCCACCCAGCAATATTATGGGATATTGGAATATTGAATAAAAAACATTTTTCGACATTGCAGGAAATCTTGGGTTTCAAGATCCAAGAATGATTTTGGGTGGTGTGTCTGGATGCCATAGAATTAAAGAAAGTTTGGAAATGAACAGCCAATCAGAGGATAGACCACTGAGGATGGACGTCCTCTTTGGTGTCTTGTGGACGAAGGCGAGGTAGTGGTACTCCATCTCTGTGGCGAAGAGTTCTTTGGCCAGGCGGCGGCGGATGAGCCATCAACGTAGGAAGGCAATCACGATGGCCTTTCTCATTCCGAAATGCCCAGTCAATTCAACGCGCACTGTCAACATCGTCAAATTGTTCTACTCATGAGTAGAATATTATTTCTTGTGGTTTTCATGAATATTTCTGATAAAATTATGGAATATAACTTGGTCAAGAAATGGCATCCAGACACGCCAAATCGATGTCGCTGAGATTCTTAAATATTTTGCAAAATTATCTCGATATTTCTCAATAAAAGTGGTATCCAGACGGGCCCTAAAGTATTATAAGCCATTTCGGCTGCCAACCCATGAAGTTAACACGAAAGTTACCAGTCGCGACTATATTATTACGTAGTATTCCGGAGTATATTGACGGTACATTTACTTCTAGGATTGCGTAAACAAGTGGTCGGCGCATCCACAGCCATTCAATTTCGTCGTACGGGGCAAGAGGTCACACCGCTGGAACCCCCAGCACCGTTCGATGGTCAAGTGCTTAATTTGGCTTAACGCGGCCGCACTTTGAAACGGAATCCGCTCCAACGTCAATCTCATGACGTGGCTCAACGGCGACACGTCTACAACCCCACGACAGTTCGCCAGCCGAACCTACCCCCCCCCCCATAAAAACACTTCGTTTTAACCCCACCCCCCCATAATCATCATTCTCACACACACCTTGGACACAGTTGCGAGGGGGGATATGTCGGACAGTAAGGGACAGTTTGAAATGTCCACGTTCGTCGCCTTAGCTAGCGCCGCCACACTACGCACTTGGCTATCGAGAGTATTATAACCAATATATATATATATATATATATATATATATGGGACAAGAATGAGGGGGAGGGTACTGTACCGGAGGCCGTCGAGGTGGACGGTGGGGACCCCATGCAACGGCGTCAAGTCGTTGATTTGAATGCAATCGGATATGGACATGTACTGGGTCGTGCAATGACGTGGCAAGCTCGTGATGAAGCGATTCCCAGACAAAATTAAAGTATGCACATTCTCAAGCCCGTCGATGGACATGAGTTTGCCGACGCCCGTGAGGTTCAACGTGTGTACATTGCCCAATGCACTCACGTCTCGGACGTTCCAGCACCCTGTCAGGTTGACATGACGCACGCGGCTAGAAATATATATAACATATTATAACAAATAAGTAAATATA